CAGGCTCTGGTTTAGGTCTAGGGCCAGGCCTCCTTCTGCATTTCTACCCAGTGCTTGGGTGAGAGTGTATGTATAAACTATGTGTTTTGTGGGGTTTTTTTTGTGTGTGTTTCTGGAGGGTACATCCTCATCAAAGAGAGACAGAGAGAGGAAGAGGAGAAAGCACCCCTCGTGGGGGGTGGTCACGCCCCAATCCCTTCTCCTTCATCTCTCTCCTTTTGGGATTTGGGGCATACGCACACATGTGCCCTGTATGTTTCTCAAGCTGCCGGGTCTGGGACTCTGGGACAGGTTGGCCATGTGGGTTCCGGCTCTTGATATGGATTCTGTACTGCAGGAAATTTTATCGTTATTTCTGTAAGTGCCCAACCCAATGATATGCTGCTTCTGTACATGCTTGCAATGCCCAGGAGGTGCAGCTGCATGCCACACATACCAGCCCAGCCAGCTCGACCAGATGTCCCTGAGTGTGAGACACTGGGCCCAGCAAGCCTCCCCTTTCAGGAATGGGATGTGGTTTTTGCCCTTATAAGCCGCTTTCCCACTTACTTCCAGGGTGGCGAAGTTTTTGAGAGATGTGAGTCCTCTCACAGCCACCAGCTTTGAATGAAGATTCATTTGGCCTTACGTGTGGCATCTCCTTTGATCTTGCGGCATACATTGTAACTCTTAGCCAACAGGCCCCCGAGCCGGGCCATGCAAGGCTGACGTTGGTGCTGATGTGAGCAGTACTCTTGGAACCCCACCTGGTTGCTGGGGGCTGGATCCTGGGTGATGTTAGCAGGAGGTCACAGCATCATGTGGACACAGAGCTGGGCTCCCTCACATAGGCCAATTGGCTGGCAGGACCCCTCACATTGAGCCACTGTTCCCGCGCACACTCACCCTTAATGCTGGGGAGACCGACAGGCGAGCTGTGCACCCAGACCCCACTTCTCCAGGTCCCACCTGCCACTCCCTTCCACTCAGATGCAAGGGGTTGGAGAGACTCCGCTGAGAGGCCTGAGCCGGGCTGACCTTCCCTCTGACTGGGGTGGGGGATTGGCCCTGGGAGAGGTGTTGGCCTCAGGACCCCTCACACAGGGTTGTGTGTGCTCTCCTCGCCTCCCCTCTGCAGGGCCCTCAACTCTGCAGGCTGCACATTTAACGGGCCCGCCATCTCACACAGCTGAGCCAGTATGTACTTTTATTAATTAAAAGAATTTATTTATTTTAATTTGACCAGAGAGAGACAGTGAGGGTGAGGGTGAGAGAGAGAGAGAGAGAGAAAGTGAGAAAGCAAGCCGTCCTGGACTCGAACTGCAGCCATGTGGGAGTCCAGGGCCCTTAACCACCATGCCACTTGCCGGCCCTGCACTTTCACTTATTTTAAGGGTTGGGAAAAGGAGAGCCCCTGCTGAGGAAGTTCTGGTTAGCTGGTGGAGGCCAGGGGAGTGTCATCAGGGGAGCTTCCCTGGGGAGGGGAAGGGGCTGGAGCAAGGCTCCAGGCCAGGAAGTGAGATGGCAGGTCACCTCCCACCTGGAGCTGGTGTCCACGGACTTCACAGGTAAGTCTGGCTGGGGGCTTGGGACGCTCAGGACCTGTCCCCCTGCCAAGGCCACTGGCCGTGGGGCTTCACCCGCACTGAACGCCCCACTCCCAGGTGCAAGGAGCTGGGCGGCTGGAGCCCCGGGAGCCACCCCACCTTTCTTTGCTGCGCCAGGCTGGCTACAGCCAGGAGAGCCAGACAAGGACATGGTCTCTCCAGAGAAGCCCCGGTCCTAGGCAGGGGATGGGCCAGGGCTGGGGCTGGGGCAGGGACGTGGAGGTGACCAGGAGACCCAGACGGTGACGCACCAGCCCTTGTTCCAGGCCCGAGGAGCCTGCCTATGTCTGCACATGTGTCAGTTGGATGTCCCCGGCCACCTCCAGGCTGTTGATGGCGGGCAGGTTCTTCAGGCGGTGGTAGTATTCCAGCAGGTGCTGGCCGTCCACGGCCACCTTGAGGCAGTGGCCTTCACACATGATCCACACCTGGACAGAGAGGCCAAGGCATGGATCCACTCGTGGGAGTCCTCAACGCAGAACGCAGGCTCGTGTCCCCACCCCCTCCTTCCTCACACGGCAGTGAGCCCCACGTCCTCGACTTGCTCTTTACAAAACTTGTGTGTGCACGCTTTCCTCTGCACCTTAGCACGTGCTGTTCTCATGCATCCCATCCGCACCCTACCCCACCTCCAGCCCCTCACGTGGACACTGGCTGGTCAGGGCCACCTGCAGCCATTGCTCTGCTTCCCTTTCTGCACAGCAGTGCCAGTTGCCACCTCGGACCCACCCCCTCCTCACTCTCCAACTGGACCCCAAGTGCGAGGGACAGGAACGTTGGCTGGTGCCATTGTGTCCCAGGAATGCTCTACACGTAGGCACCTGCAGCAGCTCCTATCCCTCCCACCCCTGTGTGTTCTCCATGGAGCAGCCAGGACACAGATGTGAGGGTGTCGTCCTCCCATCGCTATGGCTTACGCTGCATCACACCTTCCAGGCACGTCTAACCGCGTCTACCGCACTCCATCCTTTTTTTTTTTTTTTTGGAGAGGTTTTTGCTATAGGGCGCGTGCACTCGCCAGACAGACAGAGACAGAGAGACAGAAAGCGAGAAATCACCCCCAGGGGGATGGCCACGCCACAATCCCTTCTCCATTCTCCTCTCAGGATCTTGGGCACACACGCACATGCGCCCGGCGTGAATTTTAAGCCACCAGATCTGGGACGTGCACCACGGTTGACTACATGGGAGTCCAGTGACATAGCCATTACGCCAACTGCTGGTCCCTCCATCCTTTTTTTTTTTTTAGAGAGATATTTTTGCTATAGGGCACATGCACCCACTGGAAAGACAGAGAGAGAAACAGAAAGTGAAAAATCACCCCCCCCCCAGGGGGGTGACCACACCACAATCCCTCCTCCTCCATTCTCCTCTTGGGATTTTGGGCACTCATGTGCACGTGCCCGGCATGAGTTTAAGTCGCTGAGCCTGCGACTTGAACTGCGGTTGACTGTGTGGGGGTCCAGTGGCGTAACCACTTTGTCATCGGCTTGTCCCCTTCCACCCCATTCTTCCAGCTCTGACAGCCATGTTACTATTCTCTTCTTTGTGTAAATGTGGAAACCGGAGCACAGAGTGGTCGTCACTTGCTCAAGATCATGCAGCTATTTACAAATCAAAGTATACCAATGGATTCCAAAACGTTCATGGAAAACTGAAGTGAACATATGAGTTTAGGGACCAGCAGGTGGTATGGAGGTTAAGGTGCTGGATTCCACATGGCCAACTTGGCAGTTCAGATCCCAGACCTGGTGGCTTAGAAACCACACTTTGTGTGTGTGTGTGTGTGTGTGTGTGTGTGCACCCTAAATCCTGAGAGGAGACTGTAGGAGAAGGGATTGAGGTGTGACCATCCCCCCAGGGGTGATTTCTCACTACCTGCCCCTCCCAGTGAGCTCATGCACCTTATACCACCCCTCCCCCCAAAAAAGGGTTTATTTTGGTGCAAAAAAAAAAAAAGGTTGAAATCCATGCATAGCTCTTCATACTACACATTTTCTGTGAACTTTTTGATGACTTCTTGTAGTGCGCCCTGGCTTAGAACACCCTGGTGGCTTTTCATCTTTTAAAATCCCCACGCCTTTCAAGCCCCACAGCACCCTGCCCCAGTTGTTTTCAACCCTGATTGCAAACTACAATCAGTGAGGGCATATCTGTAAAATATGGACGCCCAGGATGACCACCCCATTTGTTTTCAACCCTGATTGCAAACTACAATCAGTGAGGGCATATCTGTAAAATATGGACGCCCAGGATGACCACCCCATTGGCCTGGATGTGACCCAGGCACTGGGGTCGCTCTGTTGCTCTCTCGGGGGGACCT